CTTCGGCCCACGATGTTGTGCCGAATTTTTACCCTAAACCTAAGGTCTATTTAACCTCCACCGCTACCTTATACTATCATCCATATGCCTATCTAATAGCCGCTTAAATGACCCTAATGAGACCGACTCCACTACCCTCTCCGGCAATGCATTCCACGCCCCTACTACTCTCTGAGTAAAGAACCTACCTCTGACGTCTCCCCGATATCTACTTCCTTTCACTTTAAAACTATGTCCCCTCGTAAAAGCTACCCCCACCCTAGGAAAAAGTCCCTGGCTGTCTACTCTATCTATACCTCTGATCATTTTGTACACCTCTATCAAGTCATCTCTCATCCTTCGTCGTTCTAAAGAGAAAAGCCCTAGCTCTCTCAACCTTTCCTCGTAAGACCTTCCCTCCATTCCAGGCAACATCCTGGTAAATCTCCTCTGCACCTTTTCTAACGCTACCACATCTTTCCTGTAATGAGGTGACCAGAACTGGACACAATACTCCACATGTGGCCGAACCAGGCTTTTGTATAGCTGGAGCATAACTTCACGGCTCTTGAACTCAATCCCTCTATTAATGAAAGCTAACACACCATACACCTTCTTAACAACTCTATCCAGCTGGGTGGCAGCTCTCAGGGAACTGTGAACATGAACCCCAAGATCCCTCTGCTCCTCCACACTGCCAGGAATCTTTCCGTTAACCCTGTATTCTGCTTTCAAGTTTGTCCTTCCAAAATGAATCACCTCACACTTTTCAGGGTTAAACTCCATCTGCCACTTCTCAGCCCAGCTCTGCATTCTATCAATGTCCCTTTGTAACCTAGAACAGCCCTCCGCACTGTCCACAACGTGACCCACCTTTGTATCATCCGTGAACTTGCTAATCCACCCTTCCACTCCTTCACCCAAATCATTTACAAAAATCACAAAGGACCCAGAACAGATCCTTGTGGTACACCACTCGTAACTGAGCACCATGTTGAATATTTTCCGTCCGCTACCACCCTTTGTCTTCTAAGGTCAGCCAATTCTGAATCCAATCTGCCACATTTCCCCCTATCCCATGCCTCCTTACCTTCTGCATGAGCCTACCATGGGGAACCTTATCAAATGTCTTACTTAAATCCATGTATACCACATCCACTGCTCCACCTTCACCCACGTGTTTGGTCACCTCTTCAAAGAATTCAATAAGGTTTGTGAGGCATGATCTACCCCGCACAAATCCATGCTGACTATCACGAATCAAACTGTGCCTTTCCAAGTGATCATAAATCCTGTCTCTCAGAGCCCTTTCCAATAATTTGCCCACCACTGACGTAAGACTAACTGGCCTGTAATTTCCAGGGTGATCCCTGTTCCCTTTTTTGAACAAGGGAGTGACGTTTGCCTCTTTCCAATCTTCTGGCACTATACCCATGGACAGTGAGGACGAAAAGATCATCGCCAAAGGCCCTGCGATCTCGTCCCTCGCTTCCCATAGAATCCTTGGATAAATCCCATCAGTCCCAGGGGACTTATCTATTTTCAACTTCCTCAGAATTCCTAGCACATCTTCTTTACTAACATCAACCTCCTCTAGCCTACCTGCCTGTTTCACAATGTCCTCCTCTACAACTAGGTCCCTCTCAGTTGTGAATACTGAAGAAAAGTATTCATTAAGGACCTCTCCTATCTCTTTAGGCTCTGTGCACAAATTCCCTTTACAATCCTTGATCGGCCCTACCTTTTCTCTGGTCATTCTCTTGTTCTGCACATACGTGTAAAAAGCCTTGGAGTTTTCCTTGATCCTATCTGCCAACGTTTTCTCATGCCCCCTTATAGCTCTCCTAAGCCCTTTCTTCAGCTCCTTCCTGGCTAACTTGTATCCCTCTAGAGCCTTTTCCGTTCCTCTTTTCCTAAACCTTACATAAGCCTCCTTCTTCCTCTTATCCAGTCATTCAACCTCTCTCGAGAACCATGGCTCCCTCACTCGACCGCATCTTCTCTGCTTGCTAGGGACAAATGTATCGAGCACATGCAGTATGCATTCCTTAAACAATCTCCACATTTCTGTGGTGCTCTTCCCTGACAGCATCTGTTCCCAATTTATGTTACCCAGTTCTTGCCTAACTGAATTGTAATTACCCTTCTCCCAATTGTAAACTTTACTCTGCCGTATGTATCTATCCTTATCCATGACTATCGTGAAAGAAACAGTTATGATCGCTACCGCCAAAATGCTCTCCTACCAACAGGTCTAACACTTGGCCAAGCACCAAATCCAAAGTGGCCTTTGGATGTGGTGAACAGAGGGGAAGAAGGTAGCTTGTATCATGCATCTCACAAAAAGCCTAACACAGCTAAGATCCAATATCTTTTCATTTGGAGGAAATGAATATAGTTCATAAAGAAATTATAAAATTGGAGGAGAAGTTCACCTAGATGGAGGAGAGCGAAGGGTGGATAAAGACTAGAGTCATAGAAATGCACAGCATGGAAACAGACCTTTTGGACCAACTTGTCCACACTGACCAGATACCATAAGTTAATCTTGTCCCATTTTCCAGAATTTGGCCCATTTCCCTCCAAACCCTTCCTATTCATGTACCCATCCAGATACCTTTTAAATGTTGTAATTATACCCGCCTCCACCACTTCCTCTGACTTCTCATTCCATACACGGGCCACCCTCTGAGTGAAAAAGTTGCCCCTTAGGTCCCTTTTAAATCTTTCACCCCTCACCTTAAACCTATGCTCTCTAGTTTTGGACTCCCCTAATCCTGGGAAAAAGACCTTGTGATTTTATAAACTGCTGTAAGGTCATCCCTCAGCCTTCGACACTCCAGGGAAAATAACCCCAGCCTATTCAGCCTCTCCCTATAGCTCAGACCCTTCAGTCCTGGCAGCATCCTTTAAATCTTTACTGCACCTTTTGGAGCTTCAGTTGAAGAAAGAAGCAGACAGCCTTCAAATCACCCCTGTGGCAGATAGAAGTGTAGGGAGATTGGTCATTGTGGTGACAAAATGTCAGTTAGCACCATGAAAATGGAACCTGTTGAAGTGGCAGGGGGATTAGAAGAGTCATTGATGTGTATGAAAAAGATGGTTGTCAAAGGGAGAAAAGTTGAGGCAAGAAATAAGGAAATCGGTTCAGAGGAACTGGCTGAGATGATCTTTCTTGTTAGTGAATTTTGGGAAGAAGGTAGAAGTGAGCTGTTCAGGCTAGGGAACTACAAGGTTGCAGACTGTGACGAGAATATCACCAGTCCTGGAGATGATGGCTTGATGTTTGCTGTTGGGTTCAGTTGGCATTCAGCCTATGCAAAGTAGATGCTGGCCCTCCAACAGTAACAGAGCACTCTTGTCAACAAGTTAAATGACAACACTTGTGGTGAATTTAAGAGAATGCAGTGCAACAGTTTCAAATGGAAACACAGTGAGGGGAGAAGCAGAGAATTTGAGACAGCCAGTGACACACATCTCTCAATGAAAAGGTCTGGAGAGGATTTGAGGCCTAAAGGAGTGATTCACATGGAAGAGGAAGACTGTAGACAGGTAAACAGTTTCCTGTGAAAGGGGAGGACTCATGAGAAGTGGGCGCAGAATCGATAACACCCCATTCTAAACTGTTGCAGTTAATCCACATTTACCACGCGAACGTAATTTAAGTATCAATAATCCCCTGTATAAAGAAAATGCCCCCAGAAGTAAAACTGGCAAATAAGACATGCTTGTCTTGAACACTACTAAATGAAAGTACGACCCAAACTATCTTGCTCAAAATATTTTTCTACACATAGTCTGAAGCCTTAATTATTTAAATACTTCAGTTAATTCACCAAAACAAATCTATGCTTAAATAATTATCTCTGATAATTGAAAACTTTCAATTTGGGATCATCCCTGAAGCCTTTCCAGGCCCTCTATATGTCACATGATGTTGATTGAAAGATGACCATTGCCCATATTATCAGATGATTTATGTCCACTTTCAGTCAGATGAGACCATTTACTTCAATATGAACAGACAGTGGGGCCTTGATTTATAATACCATCCAAAATCCAACCCCAACAGCACAGCACTTAATACTGCTTTGAAGTGTCAGCCTACATTAGGTTAAGGCCTGGAATGGGGATTGAAACCACAATCTTTTGACTCAGAGATGACAGCAGTGCTATCTATCAGTTACCTCGAATCTGAAAAAGTCATAAAGGGCTTACCGTGTTAATTTTTCTGCAACATTTGAAGGCAGTAGGAAAGTGATCATTGGTGCCAAATACAGACAATTCTTGGAAATAAAGAGCAGGTAAATCAGCATCAGATCAGTGATTAAAACAGTAACACTTCAGCAACTTTCATTTCAACACAAGCAGCACAGTCCAACAGGAGAAGTCCCTTATGTAAGAAAAGCCAGAACATGCCCAGGAATGTCAGAACTGTACTCACATGAGCACGTCCTGATTTGTCTTACTTTGGTGGTATCGGGATCTTTCCAGACTCATAATTGCAGATCTGACGTAGACTCGAGCCTGAAGCAGTATCCTTCAGACTCTGAGTAACAAGCAGCCAGACCTTTATTCAAGATTTTCAACTTTTGTGCTTTTTACGGTATAAACCTACTTAGTGACTACTGGATGCTGAGAAAATAATGTTCAGAAGAAATGATAAAAAAATTGCACACATTCCGACAATCATGCAAGATCAACACTGAAGGCAATGGAAAGAACAGAAGGCTGCACCCTACATCAGGTATTAAATAATCTATGGAGATAAATAGGCAAAAGCATAAAATTCCATTGATTGTGCCATGCCTGGCCAAATGCAAGGCATATCTACTTTTCTGTCAGAAATACCTGCATCTCCACAGAAAAAGAAATCACTCTCAATCTCAAAGTATCAAGCGAGATTTTAAGGGACGGAGAGCTGTTCTAACCTGCCAATACGTTAACGAAATGGATGATGGAGACTTTGAATCTCCAAATCTATAACATCCTGTCATAATGCCACACACTTTTCTCCATTCTACTTGTCACTCTACCCTTCTGTTGGTACAGTTTTCATTTACAGAGATGTGCCATTTCTAGGTTTTACATTTTATGCACTGGATGCAGCACAAGTGGTCTCACATTTTGAGTTAACAAGGAGTAGAGCTGGATGAACACAGCAGGCCAAGCAGCATCAGAGGAGCAGGAAGCTGACGTTTCGGGCCTAGACCCTTCTTCAGAAATGGGGGAGGGGAAAGGGGTTCTGAAATAAATAGGGAGAGAGGGGGAGGCGGATAGAAGATGGATAGAGGAGAAGATAGGTGGAGAGGAGACAGACAGGTCAAAGAGGCGGGGATGGACCCAGTAAAAGTGAGTGTAGGTGGGGAGTTAGGGAGGAGATAGGTCAGTCCAGGGAGGACGGACAGGTCAAGGGGGCGGGATGAGGTTAGTAGGTAGGAGATGGGGGTGGGGCTTGAGGTGGGAGGAGGGGATAGGTGGGAGGAAGGACAGGTTAGGAAGGCGGGAACGAGCTGGGCTGGTTTTGGGATGCAGTAGGGGGAGGGGAGATTTTGAAGCTTGTGAAGTCCACATTGATACCATTGGGCTGCAGGGTTCCCAAGCGGAACATGAGTTGCTGTTCCTGCAACCTTCGGGTGGCATCGTTGTGGCACTGCAGGAGGCCCAGGATGGACATGCCGTCTGAGGAATGGGAGGGGGAGTTGAAATGGTTCGCGACTGGGAGGTGCAGTTGTTTATTGCGAACCAAGCGTAGGTGTTCTGCAAAGCGGTCCCGAAGCCTCCACTTGGTTTCCCCGATGTAGAGGAGGCCACAATGGGAACAGCGGATGCAGTATACCACATTAGCAGATGTGCAGGTGAACATCTGCTTGATGTGGAAAGTCTTCTTGGGGCCTGAGATGGGGGTGGGGGTGGGGGGGAGGTGTAGGGGCAGTGTAGCACTTCCTGTGGTTGCAGGGAAAAGTGCCAGGTGTGGTGGGGCTGGAGGGGAGTGTGGAGCGGACAAGGGAGTCACGGAGAGAGTGGTCCCTCCGGAAAGCAGATAAGGGTGGGGAGGGAAAAATGTCTTTGGTGGTGGGGTCGGATTGCAGATGGCGGAAGTGTTGGAGGATGATGCATTGGATCCGGAGGTTGGTAGGGTGGTACGTGAGGACGAGGGGGATTCTGTTTTGGTTGTTATTGCAGGGAGGGGGTGTGAGGGATGAGTTGCGGGAAATGCGGGAGACACGGTCGAGGGCGTTCTCGACCACTGAGGGGGGGAAGTTGCTGTCCTTGAAAAACGAGGACATCTGAGATGTACGGGAGTGGAATGCCTCATCCTGGGAGCAGATGCGGCGGAGGCGAAGGAATTGGGAATAGGGGATGGCATTTTTGTAGAAAGGTGGGTGAGAGGAGGTGTATTCTAGGTAGCTGTGGGAGTCGGCGGGCTTGAAATGGATATCGGTTTCTAGGTGGTTGCCAGAGATGGAGACAGAGAGGTCCAGGAAGGAGAGAGAGGTATTAGAGATAGTCCAGGTGAACTTAAGGTTGGGGTGGAAGGTGTTGGTGAAGTGGATGAACTGTTTGAGCTCCTCGTGGGAGCACGAGTGTTTAGTGAGTTGGCTGTCGCTGACCAATGGAACTTTTTGATGATTGAAATCTCTTTTCACAGGCTCAACGACTCACTTGGTTGTACTCTCACCTGAGGCAGAAGATTGTGGATTCAAGTTTCACTCCCAGACCAAAAGCCCCACGTTAACATTGCAATGGAGTACTGAAATAGTACTGCGTTATTGGAATTGGTGTTGTTTTGATGCCAATCACAGAATCATTACAGTGCAGAGGAAGGCACGATTCAGCCTGACATGTGTGTACTAACTCTCGGAACATGTACGAAAAAAAACAGGGAGATTATCCCTGATATCTTGGCCAATATTTATCTCTCAATCAACAACTCAAATTTACATTATCTGGCCATTATCACACGGATGTTTGTGGGAGGTACTGTGTATAAATGGTTTCCTGCCTTTCAAGTGAGGGCATAGGTTTAAGGTAAGAGGAGAAAGATTTGAAAGGGACCTAAGGGGCAACTTTTTCACACAGAGAGTGGTTTGTGTGTGTAATGAACTGCCAGAGGAAGTGGTGGATACAGGTACACTTACAACATTTAAAAGACATTTGGATAAGTACATGAATAGGAAAGGTTTAGAGGAATATGGGCCAAACTCAGGCAAATGAGACTAGTTTAGTTGGGAAATAAAAACCAAAAGAACTGTGGATGCTGTAAATCAGCAACAAAAACAGAAGTTGCTGGAAAAGCTCAGCAGGTCTGGCAGCATCTGTGAAGGAGAAAACAGAGTTACTGC